ATGGTAAAACGTTGCAAACTACACGAAGTCCGAAACTTCAAAAATTGCGAACTCAAACTTCAAACTCACTAAACACTACTCAATCCTCTCGATTCCCAAATAAATACCGCTTTCCTATTACCAATACACGTTAAACTGAACATAACCTCAATTAATTATCTTACTTTCTAACCTTTCCTATTAATCCTATTAATAACCAACAAATATTAACAAAAGGCCATATCAAATTTAACCCTTACAATTCGATTCACTTCCAATATTATCGAGTACAAACTCTTATTCATCATAATTCAAATATTACAATTCACAGCGGTAGAATTCAACATTTTATATTTCCCTCATTCATAGCTACCATAATAAAATTTCACTCTCATACTCTAAAGTGTGCTACTCTTTCAAATAATTTCCAACGCTCTACAACAAATTTTCGTCATAGTCCAGCATGACACACAGGTTCAAACGGTGAACCCCTTGTCCTACAATCACAATTTAACAACAATCAATATTGTCCATTACCCACGGATAAAAGCAAGCAACTGTTCCAACACGATCAGTATATTATCATCAAATAAAATTTCCGCTTGAAGTAAAATAGACAATTTCATCGCGTGCCTTACATGTTGTCCATAGTAAAATATTACTTGAGCTCGGTAGCAACGGCAAATAGTACGTCAACGGGTTGACTACGTATGCACAGAGGTTTTTCGGTTTCGGTGGCATTTATGAAAAGGGACTTTTTACCGCATTTGGGAGGCAAATACCCTATAGTGCGTCGGTAGCTCCGTGTCCCGGCTTATCGCGACAGCTTACGGTGATTCGGAACGGGGAACGCTTTAAGCTCCGTCACGATAGGTGCTCGAACGAAAAGTAGCGATGTGCGTAGTGATACTGTCTCTCTCCTACAGCCAGCCACCCCCCTCCCGGCCCCCGGTCCCCTATGGTAAGGCAACGAGTGCTCTTTCCGCGAAATTGGATCCCGGCCGCGGCGTAACTTGCGGATAACGAGTGCTCCGATTTAGAGATTTCGTATGGGCGAGAGGAATAGGTGGAACGTGGGGGGTTGGATAAAGAAGGGCTGCACAAGGGGCCGGGGGAGGGGGCAAGGAAACGGAATCGATACCCGTCGAAATGTATTCCAGCCCGTGGGCTTCGTACAGGTTCAAAATCTACTCGGAAGAATTCATTCGACGGTTTTCGGGCGTAATGTTTGCCGGAAGCGTGCTTGTGAAAGGGTTGAACGTTGACTATGAGGTGACTCGTAAATAAGGAGGCAGATACGTGGAGGAAGGAATTCGAGGATTTGTTTGAGCTCGTCTGGGTAGATTGCTGCGCAAAATGATCGTTGGGTGGTTGAGATAAGGGGAGAGAATGATTTAAGGCGGTAGTAATGGGTTAATGATAATGGGGTAGGAGAAGTGATGGTAATGAAAATGGGTTTAGAATAGTAGGTGGTTAATTGTAAGAAAAATGACGGGTAATAAAAATAGGGTAATGATAATGGGTTAATGGAAATAGGTTAATAATGATAGGTTAATAACAGTAGGTTGAGAATAGTAATAGGTGAAACAATAGGGGAACAACAGTGATAGGGTAATAACAAAGGGTTAACAATGGTAGGTCAATAATAATGTGACAATAGCAATAGGTTAATAGAAATAGGTTGGCAATAATAATTAATAATAACGACAGGTTGACAGTAGTAATAGGTCAATAGCAATAGGTTAATGATCAAAGTTCACTAAACATAGGTCAATAATAATTTCCTACCACCATCACCCACTATTAATCGCATATTCATTCTCCACTTCCCCACTTTCGAATTTAAAAGTCAATATTAAAGAAGATAACGTTAATAATAGTAAGTCACCATAACTTTGCTATCTATTAGATTCTACCTAACAATAAACAATTCCGAAAACCAGAAAAATATCACTACTAACACACATTTTCCTATTTCCCCAGGAATATTTCAAATTCCTAGACGAGCCGAGGATCGCAGCGAAGTTAAACAGTCCGGTGCAATTTCATTCGACCTAATTGTGCAGGAAATTCGCCTGAAAAATTAATACGACCGCGGTTTCCGCGAAAAGACAGAACCGCGCGGAACAAGAGAAGCGTATCCCTTCCGACGGGAGCAAACGGACATTTTCAAACAATGAAAATTGAAAAGCGGAGCTTTTTGAGAAAATAAAATCACCGGCCCCCATCCTATCGATAGAATTATTACTCGATTAAAAGAGTGCTCCTGAAAAAAATGTATATATATATATATATATATATATATACACACATATGCGGCGTATTCGTTTCTCCGCCCAACGCTTTGTTGTAGCTCAATTCTCGAAACCCAATTAATTTTGTTTGAACGGCGCTTTTTCCAATTTAGCTCGGTGTGCCGCACCCTCTGGCCAACCTTCCAACGTCCGCGGCCTCGGTGTGTACCTTTTACAGGAAGTAAGATTAAACCGTGCGCGTATGTGCTCGCCGGGCTCCAAAGCAGCTGGTCAAATTCGAACTTTCCCGTTACGAGGGAATGGATGTTACAAAAATTTTTCATGTGCCGTTAACCTGGTATTGAGGAGCACGTTACATTCGCAAGGAACACCTGGACTGTGAATTGGAAGCACTGGATGCTAGCCAATTCTAATTTAGCGGAGGCGATAATGGATGTCTTTATTGCATCAACGGATAAAAGATAGAAATGAACTAGCCTACTGGCCTATCAATAACCTAAAATTCTCTTTTGATGCACTGAAGTCCAGTTTCGGATGTCCTAACATTATTGCACCTAATCTAGGTGCAAGCTAGCTAGGAACTTGGTTGAGAGATATTTTAACTGATAGATTTAGCTAATAGATTATAGAACTAACTGATACATTTAACTAATAGATTACAGAACTAACTGATATATTTAACTAATAGATTCAACTAGATTAACATGTACAATATATACCTACAAGAAATAAGTTTTCAACGTATTATCTTTAATTTCGAATGCTTCCTAGCTAAGGACAAACAGTCTGTAATCTATCTGTGAAGAGTTGTTCAAGGACATCTACATTCAGTGCTAACTCAGGATTATACTGAAATCTATGTAACAGATCTAACTGTATCTATATCTTCAAGTCAGGTTTACATTAGCTACCAAACCAACAATCTGTCTACCAAGACAACCTTGCCAAAAGTACTCTACCAAGTCCACTGCTAACCATCGTCAAACCCTAACTCCACCACACCCAATTCCGAACCCTTCTAGCCCGAAGAGCCCTAACTGGTCCAGGACAAGACACTTTTCCCTTGCACTCTGCACGCCTTTCAGCCATAAACACATTCTTCCCATCCCCGAAGCCTGAGTCAGGCGGACCGGGAAGAAGGCAGCTAAGGTGGACCACGTACTCCGCGAGCAGACTATACACGGCACACGAGGGACACGTGTACGTGCGCATCGATCGTTCGGCTTGAGTAACGCTGGCCGGGTGATCGTAACGGTGTATCTGGTTTTTTCCCCTCAGCCGGCCGTTATTGGCTACCGAGGGCAAGACGGATGCAAGGGCCGAAGAAAAATCGATGCGCCCGCCGGGACAATCAGTTCCCGTTTATCGAGTGTTTTAATAGGCCAGTTAAAAAATTACCCGGGCGATGTCGGCGCACCGAGATCGGTTAAGAGGCTAAAGCCACCGGGGGTGGGGGCCGGCCGCCCCAGCTTGTATTCAGATTAAGGAGTTTTTGCCAGGGAGAAGAAAACCGAACGTGCGTCGATCGATTTCACTTTAACGATGCATCGAATATTTTATGCAACGCGCCCCCGCGACGGAAGCAAGGATCGCCGAGCCACCGATACACTGAAAAACCGAAGCAATTATACGAATCTCCGGGGGAACGCGATAGAAGCACTCCGCTGAATTTTTTAAACCGCGCGAACGGAGGTATTTGGCGTTGGACACTGAAATGTTTTTGTTCCGTTCAGCTTTGGTATTATAATATTGAATAAATATCTTACTCCCGGGGTGGAGGTTTAAAGTGTTTTGAAGTTTTGATAAGAATATGAGATTCATGGAAGAGTAGAGGTAGATGAATAAACTACAGACGTAAGGGTTGTAAATTGTAACTTTTCCATCACATACCAAAATAATCTATAGCTAACCAGTTAAGCGTGGAATTTAGTTTGAAAAATCTCTCATTGTGCGTGCAATAAAGTCAAATAATGAAGTGTATACACGTTAAATGCATGCCAAATGCACTTAAAATATATCCGAAAAACTAAAGCGAAACGAAGGAGAATTACATGTTTGTCTGAAAAAATAAATAATCCATCGTTGAAGAAGTTAGCATCATTAAAGAGTTTTAAGATGACGTGTACACTTGTCAAACACAGTTAACTGGTTAATTCACCCTCCAATTACCTCTCGAATCCACTTAATTCCGAAAGTACAACGGAACCGTTAGATAAAAGAAAAAACTACCGTTAATGACAGCATCGCGATGAAGGGTGAGACTTGAATATTTTCCTTCAATCCCTCCCCCAAACGAAACAGCAAAAATATACATCAACCGAATGGTTAAAAAAGCTACCGAATATTTATCTTCGATTTCACCCCCGACCACCCCAAATGATCCCCACAATCATCCTCCTAGCATCGTACACTCCACGCAACAGCCCCTTCCACGTATCCACGAACTCGGGCCGCCGAAAATCGTCCTAGGGAACCCACCCCCGAAACCCGCCATCCACCCTCGAATTTCACTGGAAACGTTTTATGCGGCGCTCTCCGGTTGGCACGTCGCCCCGGGGCGCTTTGTCAATGGCAGGGTAGGTGGGGGGTGCAAGAAAGGAAGGGTGAAGTTAATTAATAAAAGCTCGAACGAAACGGCCGTCTAGGGGGTCACCCCCGACCCACCCCCCGGGTCTGTCGCGGATAAAGGGATGAAATACGATCCGTGCATCGTTTCATGCCCGTTAGGAAACCGATATTTTCACTTGCAATTCAAACGAGACTCACGTGTCCTGTATGAGGAACGTGTCGTCCTTGGTGTCGATGCAGATGCCCTTGCTGGTCATGACGGACCCGTTCACCGTCACCGGTTCCGGATTACCCGACTGGAACCATCGGCCGTTCCACTCCTTCTGGAACTCGCAGGCTGCAACAGAAAGAGGACGAGAACCACAGTCGGGCTACGGTCAACGGGATTTTTACATTTTTTTAATCTGCGCCGGGTACCGGTCGATAAATAAAAGCGCGGTATATTATCCGTCGACGGGGAATATTCAAAGCGACGGGACGGGACGGGTCGAGCCGGGTCGGGTCGGCACGACGGACGGGTGGAAACGGTCTGGCGGGTCACTCGGCCCGTGTAAAGACCGCTCGATCGGCTCTTT